CCATGCGATTAAATCTGGGCCGTCCGTGCGCGCGATTGATCTGGGCCGTCCGATCGCGCGCACGCGGATCGCCAACGTGGCCCATCCCCGATCAACGTGGTTTTGCCACGTGGCAGGTCCTGGTTGGCCAGGCCTGCTGACTGGGTCTGCTGACGTGGCACGCGTTTTTTTTTTTTTTTTTTTTCCTTCTTCAATTTTCCCGGGCGCTACACAAACTTTATAAATAAATACATATATATATATATATATGAAGCTAATAACTTAATGAATTATAAAAAAATTTAAATTAGTTAGGCCAAATATATTTAAATAATAATAACAATAATAGGTTTAGCATAAGAAAAGAAATATAATAGTAAAAAGATTCAAAATTGTTTTCAATTATCATTTAAAGTTAATATATTTGGTCTTAGAAAAATTAAAATAGAAGACAAATCATTTCACAATCTTCAATAGCTACAGATTATATATCTGGGACAAAACTCGAAGTTATATTAACCTTTGTACGAATAAAAAATACATTAATGGATATATTTATAATAATATTAATGTTAACTCCTGCAAATAAAAAATACATTAATTGATATATCTCACCCAAAAAAATATATTTATAATTATATAAATTTAACAAATTAATAAAATCAAATTATAGCTAAACTGATAATTTTATAATAAACTGAGAAATAATTCTTATTCTTAATGTCTTAGCTTTATCAAAATACATGTTTGATTTTAACTTTCTAATCCCATGGATTTATAACAAGAAGAATACATCTGTAAGCTTTCCCAGACAAGAGCAAGGGAAGACCAAAATATAACTTATCAAGACACTGACTGCTTTCTCAGCTATACAGTTTGGTAATTTTCAATCAAAGCTAAATACTCTGTATTGCATCAACAATGGCTTCCGGTGTTAAAGTGGCATCAACCTTAGGTATCTCTTCAGATTCATCAACCTGAATCAGGTCTAACTGGGATTGCAAAAGCGTAGGCGGCATGAAATGCTTCCCTTCTGCAGCTCTTTTCTCTAGTCGAGCAGCAATGACCTTGGCTCCCGCATTCAACATCACAAATTTTACAGCACTAACGTAGCTTCCAGATTCATAATCAGGATCTGCAGCTCTTAGAATTTCTCGGTATTGCTTTCTCAAAGAAGAGCATCCAAGTATCACAATTTTCCCACAGACTAATCTCTCTTTGACAGCATCCCTTAGCATTTCAAGCCACGGAATTCTGTCTTCATCAGAAAGAGGAATACCTCGACCCATTTTTTCTGGTCATGAATACAAATTATCAGAAGAAAAAGATAAAAAACTATTGGATTTTTGCAGAGAAATGATTTATTTCATCCATTTCCAATCAACTATTGCCCTAGCCTCCTTGGCGGATTAGCTTAACATGTATTTCCTATGTCCCAATATCTTCATACAAAACTACTTCTCTGACAGGATCTTCTGCTCATGTAGTTATGTTCTCTCTCTTTTTTAAAAAAAAAAATAAATGAAGTTATATTTTCTTTTCATTATATGGTACAATGTGATATATAATAAGAGATTATGTATCGGGGTAAGAATGTCATATTCAAACAATGATGTTTTCACTCATTTCCCGTGTTTTGAATACCAGATAAAGGACATTATGCCCGTAACTGCTTTCTTTCTAGTTTGGTACTCATGGAGAAACAAATGATATGGATTTGACAGACAACGTAATATACTAATTCGTATGAATTCAGCAAGGATGTGGCCCTTGCCAGTAGGTACTCCCCCTTCCATAGAGATGAATGTTTGTGTGTGCCGGAAGTTAGATATATACCTTTGTTTAATTGTGGGTGGAAATCATCAGCATCAATAAAATCACAATCCCAAGCTTTGGCAAGCATCTGACCTATTGTCCTATACAAGACAAGAAATAGGAACATAAGAGAAATCATAGTTCATCAAGAAGAGCAAACTACCAATGTGAAAAGAGAAAAACCAACAAATAGACGAGTGAGAAAAACTAATTTAAAAGTTATCCTGATTCTTGAAAAATGAAAATGGTCCAAGAGTATGGAGAGAGCCATACAGGTTAGATTATCTATCTGAACTCGAATACTATCATGTATTATTATTATTATTATTTACTATTTATTATTATTATTATTATTTCTAGAGTCTATTATGCATTGTTAGAATGAACATAAACAATGCTATAATATGCAATTAGTTATCAAGGAAAGTCAGTAAATGCAATAAAACAATAACAAGGGTCACAAAATCATGACCAACTTATTTGCGAAAATGGATAATACCATGTCCGATGCTTTAACGACAGACCACCAACACTCAAAACAGCAGACAGCTAGCAGCAGGCAACTGCTAGCCCAAAAAAGCTAAGAGGAAGAAACATTTGAATCCCCAGAAAACATGTCTATTACAAAGAAATACTTCAATAAACCTTTCATCTTAAGTAATGAAACTAAACAAGCAAGATGCTATAAGAATGAATTTCAGTTGCATGTAGATTCTTGCCTAAAACAATGGAAAAATCATATGTAATATCCACCACTAAAATTTGACCAATAATTCAATCCAAATTAAAATTACTAATTTATACAGACAATCAGAGAAAAAAAGGTAAAGCATGCATATTTCAGGCCTGGAGATTCTGACATGGAGATCTGTTCACCAGCTCAGATGATACATTGCCCAAAGAATTTAAGAATGGGTTTGATGCTGAAATTCCAGTAGAAGAGATCCCCTCGCTTGATCCAGAATTATTGCTTGCTGCTGAATGCTGTTTTTTTTGTCCTTTTCTATTGTAATTTCAAATCCCTGAGCATCTTCCTTCCCTAAAATGAGTTGCTACATGCACAGTTGGCATCAGCATAAATTCTTGCTTGTACTAGTTGAACATTAGGAATGATGCAGAATTCTCGAATTTATCTCTATCATAATTTCCTAAGCTTTCTCTGCTCTACTCACCCCTTCTTTTTCCTTCTTTCTTTGTCTTTCTCTTGTTCTTTTCTACCTTCTCTGCTCAGGTGTCCAAAAACAAGAAAGCTGACAACCTGGTATTATAGGCCATACCAATCCATAACTTCGACCATCACCTAAATGAGCTCATCACAGTGGTCCACAAGACTGCTAAAGATGCTTATCACCACTTTGATGAACTTCGAAGTGACCTTATAAACCACCCAACAAGAGAAACATTAGGCTCTTATCGTCTGAATCAATAACAAAAGCAGCTCATGGAGGCTTTCCGAGGCTGAAACAAAATTTCTGCTTCTCCACCTCAGCATCTCCTACTCTCTTGCCTAAAGGACAAGCTTCTCACCTAAACCAAGGGATTTGGAGGATAGCAGCGGTCTAGTGGTAATTCAAGCGCTTCCTTCAATCAGCATTACCTCCAACTGACCAACCCCATTTTGATAGGATGAACCTTCAAACCTAGACCAGAAAGTGCCAGAAATATTTGTCATCTATAATATACTAGAGGATCAAAAAGGTGGAATTGGCTTCCTTTTATGAGAGAAAAACTGATAACCTTGTTTATGAGGGAAAAAATGATTAACTCATTTCAGGGGGAGCAAACACAAAAAAGCATAGATGGCCTATTTTCATTGAGGATTGGAGTGCCTAGATTAAAAGAGATGGTTATATCTAATTTGGTAGAAGAATTTAATAAGTTGAACTAGGAAGATTTGGTGTTTTCTATCAGGAGAGTCTCAAAGAGCTTAAACTATGTTCTGCTTTGACTGGCACCAATGAGTACCAACCTCTCCTAAACAAGTTGATAGTCTGCCAAAGACCTTAAACAAATAGTCATCTCCCATGCAACCAAACCCCCAGAGCCCTGGGAAAATCCACCAACCCAAGAAAGGATCTCTAGCACCTATTGTTTTATTGCAAAGAATTTTCTTTTCAGTTCATCAATGTAAACAACACGGCTCCCTGGTATTGCAACTTATCTGGAGCCAGGTATCCATGGGATGAGAATTTTGGAGAGCGGTGGAGGAATGGAATGTGAATATCAAAGTGATGTAGGAAAACCCGGAGCTTGTTATAAATCAAAATTAGAAATATATGTTGATCAAAGTGATATCGAGGTAATTCTAGTCAAAATTGGAAGTTACATTTATTTTATGCATTTTGTAGCTCTTTCTCATTTTGGAGAAGATGAAGATGCAAGTTGTCAAATATTTAACAATGATTCAATGCTAATGAGATAGAAATAAATATATTTCAAAGACATTAAATTAATATCATTAATTAATTTGTATACTTCATTGGTAATATTTTGTATAACTTTTAAGGAAATGACTTGTAACACCCAAAATTTGTAATTTTATTATTTAATTTATTAGAATTTTTATTTAATTTTATTCTATTTTAATATTTAATTTATAAGGTTTTAATTTAATTTAATAGAAATAAAAATAATAATAATAATAAAATAGGGTAAAATTATTTTTAGAATTTAATTGAAATTGATATTGGGAAAAATTGGTGAAAATTTGGATTCTGGGAGGTGTTTTTGAAAAGAAAATCGAAAACTGGGGGTCAAAACGCAATTTAGAAAAGTTGTGCCACGTCAGCTGCCACGTCAGTAGCCCAATCAGCAGCCTCGGCCAACCAGAACACGCAAAGTGACAAGGAAGCTGACGCGGGAGGCCACGCGAGACGGAGTCACGTGGGCGATCCGCGTGCACGCGATCAAACGGTACAGATCTCACGCGTACGGACGGCGAGGATCTCACGCACACGGACGGCCCAGATCTCACACGTGCGGACTGCCCAGATTGAATCAAACACGGACGGGCCAGATCACATCGCGATGGACAGCCCAAATTTATTCCCATTTTAATCGCGATCGGACGGCACAGATTAAATCGTGATGAACGACTGAGATTAAAAGGAAAGTTATAAATAACCTCACCCACACCCAACCCCAAACCCTAGCCGCCAGTACCCTCATCGAAGAAGAAGAACCAGTCACCAGAGGAGCCAGCCGCCGCCACCCGCCGCCGCACCGGAGGATTTTCCGACCGCCAAACGAGGTAAATTTTCTCCTCTTGGCTCGTTTTTCGATGCTGAATCCGCCTATGGCCAAATCAGAGCCAAACCACCGGCCAATCGGCCGGAAAACATCGCCGAAGTCCAGCGCCGCCGCCGTGGCTTCCCTCAGTTTTTGCCTCCGATGAGGCCCTTTTCGGTTCCCATTCGATACAATTTTTATACCACTGTGATCACCGTCCTTTTCTCTACAAGTTGACCGAAGCAAAACATCAAATCGCGACTCGCACCGGAGAAGCTGCCGCACTCGAGAGCTTTGCCGCCGGTAAGTCTCGGTTTTTCGTGATTTTTTGACCCACCGAGGGTCCTAGGGTTGTTTTATCGCAGAAACCAATGCAAGTTTAGCCGAATTCAGCCAAAAACGGCCAACCCGAGGCGGATCGCCGCCGCGGACGG